GCCGGTCTCATCCCATCCACCCTGGATCTCACTGGAGAGCCAGGGCAAAAGGCAGCTCCAAGCCCCTCATTGACCAACACTGCCTCCAGCCACGGCTGCTCCGGGGTGGGTAAAGCAGAACCACAGGAACCTGGTGGAGAACGGTTTCTTTTTAACCAAAAGGCCCCATTTTATCAGTCCCATGTGTGGGGGTCACAGAAACACAGAACCAACCAGGCTGGAAAAGGCCTCATCCAGTCCAACCCTTACCCCAGCACTGCCAATGCCACTCCTAACCCATGGCACTGAGGCCTCGTCTCCACGGGGTGTGAACACCTGCAGGGACGGTGACTGCAGCCCTGCCCTGGGCAGCCTGTTCCAATGGGGCAGGAATTGTTCCTCAGCTCCATCTGAACCTGCCCTGGTGCAGCTTGAGCCCGGTTCCTCTTGCTGAAATATTCCCAACCACAGCTCCCCTTGCTCCCAACCCTCAAATCGCCTTTAACTCCCGCCCCGGTGGACTCAACTGGAGACCTTCAGGGAAGCAGAAGCCCCCTTTCTCCTTACCCCACAACATCCCTCCCGTCCCGTCCCGGTGCTGGTTCTATGGGGCTCTCCAGGGATGAGGAATCAGGCTCCTGGGATTCATTTCTAACACTCGTTTAAGAAAGCAGCGGGGAAGAGGCCCAAGAGCAGCAACCAAAGGCCCGCGCCTGCTTCAAACACACGCAGGACCCATTGCATTGACAACAACCAAGCTTTACTTCCTCGGACCCGGGCAGGTTCACATCGCTCCGGAGCCGCGGGGCCCTCTGGAGATCCCCCAGCGCCAGCCCCGCCAGGGCAGTGCGCACAGGAACGCGTCCGTGGTGGGTCTGGGACGGCTCCAGAGGGGGAGACCCCATCACCCCCCCATGCACACACACACACACCCCGGGCAGCCTGTGCCAGGGCTCCGCCGCCCTCATGCGAGGGCACACTTGTTCTGTCCGGGTCACGGCCGCGGCTCCTCGGCCTGCCCCGTGCTCCCGGCGCCTCCACGGGGCTCGGCTCTGCTCCGCCCGGGCAGGGTCCCCGCTCAGGCTGCCCCGTGCGGGCCCAGCTCCCGCAGCCTCTCCTCAAAGCGACGCTGCAGACCCCGGAGCACGGCCCCGGCCCGAGCCTCCCTGCCCGCCGGTACGGAGCGGGGCTCGGGGCTCAGCGCCCACCGGACACCCGCACACCGCGGCCCGGCCCGACAACACCGGGCCCGCCGGCGCCAGGCCCCGGCCTAGCGGGCCCAGCACCGCAGCGGCGACGGCGAGGGCCGGGCCGGGCCCCCCCAGCGGTGCCGGGAGCAAGGTGGGGGGGGCCCGGTGCGGTGCGGAGCGGAGCGGGACGGGGAGGGGCGGGGGGCGGCCGGGCCGGGCCGGGGCTTGGGGCCCGCACTCACCAGCTCATGGCTCCCCTCGCCGAGCGACCGGAAGTGCCGCTCGCCTCCGCCCCGCCCCTTCCGGCAGCGCCGCCACTGGGCGGGAGGGTGATGTCGGGACGGAGCGTGACGTCACGGGGCAGAGGGGAGCGGGGAAACGGGGAGGAAATGGGTGAAAACGGTGGAAAACGGTGAAAAAAGGTGGGAAACAGGGAGAAAATGAGTGAAAACGGTGGAAAACGGTGGGAAACGGAAAGAAAATGGGTGAAAACGGTGGAAAACGTTGAAAAACGGTGGAAAACGGTGAAAACGGTGGAAAACGTTGAAAAACGGTGGAAAATGGTGAAAAACGGTGGAAAACGGTGCAAAGCCCCTGGGAACGGGGGTGGCATCAAAGCAGCGGGACGAGGAGCGCCCTGAAGCGCGGGGTGGGCAGGAGCACCCCGGGGTGGGAAGAGGGGACCAGAGCATCCTAATGCAGGCAGGGGCACGGGAAGGGGGTGCTCAGGAGCACCCCGGGGTGGGGAAAGGGCAGGAGGTGCCCAGGAGCACCCTGCGATGGGCAGGGGCGCAGGGAAGGGGGTGCTCAGGAGGACCCCAAGGTGGGTGCGGGATGGGGGGGACAGGGGTGCCCCAGCTGAGCAGACCCAAGGCAGTGGAGCAGGGACGTGCAGTGCTTTCAGAGGGGCAGCAGCACCCAGGTTTGGGGAGAACCCCCCATCCCCATCCTCAGGAGGCCGGGCACCTGTGACCAAACCCCCCCCATGTCCTCAGCACCGGCCCCATCAGCCACCACCCTGGGGTGAAGGAAAGCACCCCCAGAGCTCTGGGTGCCCTCGGAGCCCCCCATTGCCACCCACAGCGCGGTGCCAGCACGTGCAGCTGCACGGGACCCAGGGAGGAGGCCCGGGATGGGTGCCAGGGGTGGTTTATCCATGAGCAGGTGGAGGTAAACAGCAGTGATTACAGCCAGGGAGGATGATGCTAAACTGGGAAGGTGGCACCGACACCGGTGAGGACAGGGATAAGCCGGAAAGGAGCAGGAGAGGGGGGACAGGGCTGGGTGGGCACCCAGGGGATGGTGTCCATGGACCCCCAGCACACAGGAGAAGGAGCCAGGGTGGTGGAGAGAGGAGGTTGAAGGTGGCACAAAGGAATCAGTTTGGGGGTGCTGATGGATGGGGGTTGGAGCAAACCCCGAGGGGAGGCAGCCGGGAGGACCCCACCGCATCCCGGCCGAGGTGTGGGGAGGAAGAGGAGGCATGGAGCGAGGCTGGTGCCAGGGTGGGTTTGCTGGTGGACACGGTGCTGGTCCTGGCTGCCGTTCCCACCGTGATGGCCCACGTTGGTGCAGGGGATGCAGTGAGGAAGAGCTGGGACAGGCGGGTCCTGGGTGTCCCGATGGCTGTGGGGCTCAGGGAGCACATCCCATAGATGCCAGGGATTCTCCTCCAAAACTCAGCCGCGAGCAGAGGTCAGAGCTGCCGCCTTGGCCGGGAACGTGGGGACGGATCCGTACGGCAGGGGGATGGGGCAGGAAATCCAGAAACCATCCAGGCCTTCCACAGAAGCCATCTCCTGCCAGGGAGGAGCTGAGGAGATCAGGGAGGGATCCCACCAACGTCTGTGGCACCGGCATCTCCCGAGTGCGTGCCGGGAGCGCCCGGATTCAGGTCCTCGTTGCTCCCAGCGCTGGGGACGGGCTCTCAGCTCTCGGTGCTCCTCCTTGCAGCAGATCCCATCCCGTGGAGCGCTCCTGGGTGTCCACATCCGCGGGGAGGAGCGAGGTGCTGCCATCGAGGGGGCAGAAGCAGCGGGGGTCCGGAGCTGTGCCACTGCAGCCCCTTCCCTCCTCCCCAGAGCGCAGGGAGCCCGCAGCCGGGATGCAGAGTGCCGTGTTTCCGTAGCAACCAGCGGGTTTCGTGCGAGGTGCCGCACGCTCTCGCCACGCGTTTCGCCACCCAAGGGTGCTCCTCACCTTCCTGCTCCGTGCAAGGGACACCCGAGTGGCAGAGCTGGTCCGCAGTGTAGCACCGGGGCCGGGACACCCCATTCACACCCAGTGGGCTCCTTCCCTGCTCCTTATCACAGTGAAGGAGCCCAAAGTGTTGGAACAAGCATCGCCGTGGCACAGCGATGGGGGTGATGTGGTCTTTGCTGTGCCACCGCCTGCCCCGTGCCCAGCATCTCCAATGTCCTCCAGCACAAGGCACCAGTGGAGATGGGCACAACCACCACCACCGTCACAGCACCCATGGGTGATGCTAGAGGCCGTGGTGGCTCTCCCCACACCATCGCCTGCATGCGCCCTGGCTCCAGCTCCTGCACATCCACTTGGCTTGTCCGAGCCATGCAAGGGGACAGAGCAGGGACTGGTGGCTCCAAAACCAACACAACCCCTGGGTGCTGAGGGATGCTCAGAGCACCAAGGGAAGGGCAGCCCTGGCTCACGCTGAGCCCGCGCCTGGTCCCGGGGCTGATCCAGCCTCGTCTCAATGGTCAACAAAAGGCTCAACCACCCGGGAACCCACTCTGGGACACAGGAGCCCACCCAGGGCAGCACCCATGAGCCCCAGCACCACAAGGTGCCATTGCTGGATGAGCCAGGCGTGCTCCCAGGTTCTCCATGACATTAAAGCTTCTCCAAGCCCAGTGAAACCCCGGGAGCAGCGGCTCCTCTGGGGCCTGCCCGCCGGTGTGAATCAAAGGCAGGAAGCTGGACAGTGGTGCCAGTGCCTCCACAGCCCGGGAATGCCGGGAAAGCCCGCGGTGCCGACGCTGGATGCCAGCAGTCCCTAGGGAATGGGGTGCTTCCAATACAACAGAGCCTGTGCGGCCCGAAGGACCCTCCGCGTCCTCCAGCACATTCCCAACTCCAGGAGAACCAGGGCTTCCTGGGGAAGGATTCAACCACCCGTGCGCCCGCTCCACATATCCATCGCCTCATCCTTGCTCCTTCTCCCACCCGTCCCTCGTGCCCGTACACGCACTGGCGCTGGAGTTATCCGGTGGTTATTTATAACCGGAGCGGCCTGGCCCGGCCCCATTCCCGTGGCGGCTCTGCAGCGGGGCGCTGGGGCGGCGGTACCGGGAGCGATCCTCTTTCGCCCACCGTTATCCGACGGATGCGGCGCGCCGGCAAAACGGTGCCGGGATCGAGGCGGCGGCGGTGGCGTTGGCGGCGCGACAAGGGGCAGGAATAAGACGCAAGGTCAAGGGCAACTCAAGGACACGGAGGATTTGGGGGTCCCGTGGGACAAGGGGGGGATGTGAGGATGGAGCCGGTCGCCTTCGGGGTCACCCAGTGTCCTGGAATGGCGGAGTCACGGCGGCGTCCTGCGGATAGAACTGAAGGAGAAGGGGGGACTGAGAGAAGGTTGGGTTGGTGCAGAATCAATCATATCAAAAAGAACCCAGAAAATACAACACTGAAGGGGGGGGGGGAAGCACAAACAGGCTCCAAAGTCACCCATAAAGCAGCACAGCAGCCCCAGTCTGCCCGTCCCAAGTCACTTTAAGACCCCCTGCCAGAGGAGAAACTTCTTCCTGCTCTTTCCAAACCAATCTCCATCCTTTCTGAGCAAAGTAAAATAAAGATCTTGACTCCGGCTTTTGATTGTCAGCAAACACAATATATTTACTGCATTAGCATTTGCTCACAGTGCAAATGGTACAACAATACATCAGTTCCAGGGTCGGAGTCGGATTTTGTTTCCCTTAAAAACGCTGTGTGCATCGACGAGCATCTTCGCGTGACGACATGACAAAGGAGCAAATGAAATGTGTGTGAAAATTATCACCTTTTCACGATATCAAGCATCATTTTTTTGCCTTTGAACCTTAGTATAAGGTACTATAAATCCAAGAAATAAAAACATCCACAAAATATATTACATCTGGTGTGATTTTTTTTTGTCTTTTTTTCCTCCTTTTTTTTTTTATGTGGGTTTTTTTGTGGTTTTTTTTTTTTTTCTCTGAGTACTCAACTTTATACAAAAGTCTCTCAAAAAATATCATTCCCTTTAGGTTTGTGTGGCGAAACCTGATTGTGGTCGGTGTGGTTTTATAATGTAGTTCCTCTCCGTTCACGGCTGCGTTCTCTCCCTTCGCTTTATTTCCTATACCTCTAGAATGTGGCGTGTGTGTGTGTGTGTGTGTGTGTGTGGTTTATTTTTCACATGCAGACATCAAACCTGGATAGCACGACCTTTTGGCAACAAAGAGTAGTATTTTTTATAGCTTTTTTTCAAAGTCATTATTCTTAATTCTTAATGAATCCTTATTTTTGCTTCTTTTAGCTTAAATGTCTGAGCACAGATTGATTAAAACAAAAGAAGAAAAAAATCAGAGCAGTCATGCAATGACATGCACATACCAGAAGGAGAAAGGAAAAGAAAAATGGGAAATAAGAGGACTAATTGATTATTTTGCCTCCTCCGGACTCGGTTGGCTTTAAAGTGACCAAATAAAAGCAACGTTTCCAGAGCTCACATTATCAAAAGTAGGCGGTAAAATCCTGGGGTGGGTTTTGGGGTTATTTTGAGGCGTTTCTGGACAGAATTTCCCTTCTGATGAAAAAGAAATAATAATAATAATAATAATAATACAAAATGAAAAGGGGGAGGGGAAATAATAAACCAACAAACCCAAAAGCTGCTGCCGGGACGTTGCTCCCCGCCGGGGGACCCGCAGCCCCCCCCCGCCCCGCCAGCCCCGCTTACCTCCGATGGGAGCCGGTGCTTGGGAACAGGGAGAGGGGGACCGGGGAGAGGGCCGGGGGGCAGAGGGGAGCCGGGGGGGCTCCGTCCATCCATCCCCGCCCGGCCGCGGGAGCTGCGGCTCGGGTCCAAGGAGGGCCCGATCCTGCCCAGCCCGGCCCCGGGGATGCGGCAACCGGGGATCCAGGTCAGCCGGGATCCCTCGGGATATGGAAGCCGGGCAGCCCGGACCAGGGCCGAGCGAAGGGTGGGTGGGCTGGACCCGGGACATGCGGGATCCGGGAGGTGCGGGATCCAGATGGACTGGACCAGGGAGGTGCGGGATCCAGGCAGGCTGGACCCGGGAGGTGCAGGATCCAGGCAGGCTGGACCCGGGATGTGCGGGATCCAGGCAGGCTGGACCCGGGAGGTGTGGGATCCGGGAGGTGAGGGATCCAGATGGACTGGACCTGGGAGGTGTGGGATCCGGGAGGTGCGGGATCCAGATGGACTGGACACAGGAGATGCAGGATCCAGGAGGTGCAGGATCCAGATGGACTGGACCCGGGAGATGCGGGATCTGGGAGAGCTGGGTCTGGGCAATCCGGGTGTGGGTAATCCGGGTGCGGGCAGTGCGGGATCTGAGCACCGGGGTGCGGGCAGCAGGGATCCGGGTGCGGACATTCCGGGATCTAGGCAGTGCAGGGTCCTGTCGATCCAAGTGCAGGCAGGATCCGGGTGCGGGCAGCCTGGACCCGGTCAATCCGGGTGCGGGTGGCGTGGAGCCGCACAGCACAACCCCCCGGCACCCTAAACCTGGGCGACGAGGCCGCTGCGGAGAGAAGAGGGGGTGCCACCAAACTGCTCCCCACGGTCCCTTCAAGCGCACGTGGTGACAGCGGGAGCGAGGGCGACGGGGGGCGAGGAGGTGGCGGCAGCGGTGGCGGGGGGCACGGCGGGGGGCTGCCCGCCCGAGCCCTTGTCGGTCTTCTTCTCCTTCTGCTTGAGGTGGATCTTGGCGTGCCGCTTGCGCTCGTCGGAGCGGGCGAACTTGCGCCCGCAGAACTCGCAGGCGAAGGGCTTCTCGCCGGTGTGGGTGCGGATGTGGGTGGTGAGGTGGTCGCTGCGGCTGAAGCTCCGCATGCAGATGCGGCACTGGAAGGGTTTGTGGCCCGTGTGGATGCGGAGGTGCCGGGTGAGCTCGTCGGAGCGGGAGAAGCGGCGGTCGCAACCCTCGGCGGGGCAGGCGTGGGGCCGCTCGTGGAGCGGCGTCTTGCTGGGCCGGTTGGGATACTTGCGGGGTCGGATGGGCTTGAGGGTGAGGGGTGGCTGCGGTAGCCCCCCGAAACCCGGGTGGATCTGCTTGTCCTTGAAGGCCTTGATGGTCTCCAGCGGGGTGATGGGGGGCGGGTTGACGCGGATGGGGTCCAAGCTCTGGAAGGGTTTGTGCTCCGTGATGGTGCCCATGTCGTTGGGGTGGTGGTAGAGGTTATAGTCTGGGATCATGGGGAAGAGGTTGCTGTCCAAGGCGGGTTTGGCCGCCTGGTAATCCTGGGGGGAGTAGGTGAGGCCGGGGTTGCTTTGAGGGTCGTGGAAGGAGACGGGCTCCGGGTAGAGGTCACTGCAGGAGGAGTAGGGCGGCAGCGCGGGGTACATCTGGTCCACCTCGCCCTGCGGAGGCCCCATGCTGCCCGCCGAGCTCTGCGTGCTGGTGAGCGCGCCCGAGGACGGCGGCACCCCCAGGATGCCGGCGCTCATCAGGCTGATGATGTTGTCCTGGCACCAGTTGGAGGGCGAGTCGAAAGCGAATTTCCCCAGGTAGGTGACAGTCTTGTTGCCCGGGGCCGGTTGAAAAGTGCCCGAATAAGAGGACAATTCCTGGCCGGCTTTTTCGTTCGCTAAACCAATGTCCATAACATTATCTGCAAAGTGCGAGAGAAACGGGGCAGGGTGAGCCGGGAGGGCCGAGACGCCGCGGGGGGATGCACCGGGGATGCACGGGGCCCGCTCCTTCCTTCCCTTCGCCGCTCCCCGCATCCCCCGGCGCTGGCTGCCGGAGCCGGGCTGCCGAGGCGGGAGGGGGGGGGGGGGGGTCCCCACCGGTGGGACCCCGAGGTACCTGCGGCTACAGGTAGGCTTCCTCCCCGTCCAGCCCCGGCAGCGCCGGGCGCTCCGCGGAGCCGGTTGCGGCCGCCAGCGCCGTTACCGACTCGCAGCCTTCCCTGCGCCCATCCCCGGAGAAACACGAGCTGGGGGGGGGGATGTTTAGCCCCGTGGGGCTCCGCGTGGGAGCAGGGACCCCCCCGCCCCAACCCCGCACCCCGGGAAAGCCGATGCCGCGTCCCGCGAAGCCCACGCTGCTGCGGGCTCGGGGAGGGGGAACGGGCACGGCCACGCGTGTCCGCGGTGCCTCCGCATCCCGGAGGATCCCGGTGCGGGCGGCTGAGCCCCTCCGCGCTGCGGGGCTCCGGCTTTCCCCCTTCCACCCCCCTCCCCGCTCCCCGTGTCCTCCTCCTCCCCACGGAACCCGGCCCCGTACCTGCGGCGGCGGCTCGGCAGCAGCTCGGCGGAGCCCTGCAGCGATCGCGCCGAGCCACGGCGAGGAAAGGGGTGGGTGGGTGCGGGGGGGGGGACGCTCCCCAGCCCCAGCTCTTCCCTTCTTCCCTTTCCTCCGAGGCTCCATGACACCCTTCCCATAGCGTCCTCCTCCTCGCCCCACCGCTCCCCCCCCTTCTTCTTCTTCTTCTTCTCCCCATTTCCCCCCCCCCCCCCCCTTTTTCTTTTACCTGCAGCCATCTGGTTGTAGTGAGCCACCGAGTCGCTGCTGCTGGAGAAGATATTCAAAGAGTTGGGGATCTCCTCTGGGTACAGATTGTCAGGCAATTGGTTCATCAAAGTGTTCATGGTCCCCGGCAGCTTCTCCAGTAGTTTGCCTGTCATAGCACTGGAGGAAAAGGCTGGATCAACGTGGCTCCGAGCTCAGCTCCCGAGGAAACAACATCCGAGTGGCAAATCCGTGCGAGGGGAATCATGCGAGAGAAAAAGTTGGGGGGGGGGGGGGGGGGAGTGGAGGGGGTGGGGGGGCGGAGGAGGAGGGGGTGCGGGGGGGGGGGTGGTGTGCGGTGCTCCGTGGGTCCCTGGTGGTGTTTCCTCGACGGGGGGGGTCTGGCTGGCAGATGTTGGTTGTAGAAGCGGGTGGGAGGATTTAACCCCTCCTCTCCTCTCCTCTCCCCCCCCCGTTCCCTCCCTCCCTCCCTCCCTCGGCTCCGTTCGCAGGTTCCCTCCGCTGCCGCCCGAATGCTCCGCCGGGGACTCCGCAGCCCATTTATCCGGGCGGCGGGAGCGCTCCGTGACGTAGCTGCCCATATATGGACAGACAAAGCCGAGCCGAGGCCGAGACGTCACAATGGAAGCTCCGCACAATGGAACATTAGAAAGCAGGAAGCGGGGCCGGCGCGCGCGGGGACGGGCAACGGGGAGAGCGGTACCGGACACACCGGGTACCGGACACACCGGGCACCGGGCAGCGGGTACCGGACACACCGGGCAACCTGCACCGGGCACCGAGTACTGGGCAACCCGCACCGGGAACCGGATACCGGACACACCGGGCAACTTGTACCGGGCAACTTGTACCGGGCAACTGCACCGGACACACCGGGCAGCTCGTACCGGGGCAGTGGGCACCGGGCAACCTGCACCGGGCACCGGGTACTGGACAACGGGCAACTTGCACTGGGTACCGGGCAATCTGCACCGGGCAACCTGCACAGGGCACCAGGCACCGGCCGCGGGTCTCCCCCTGCACCCTCACATCCCACCGGGCGTGCGGTGCCGTGTCCCGGGAGGGCGCGGGGTGCTGTGAGCCCCGGGGATGCTCAGGGCGAGGCTCTGACCTGGAGACTTCATAGCCCCCGCCTCGTCCTCCTCCGCTCCATGGGGAGCAGCAGCGAGGGGATGAACCGGCCACAAACCGCGTCCCGCAGCCCCGCGGGTGTGAGGGGGGAAACGCGGTGGGGTCGGAGCCGCAGCAGCCTGGAAACAGGCAGTGGTGACAGAGGAGGTGGCTTTGGGTGACAGAGGAGGCGGCTTTGCCCCCTCCCCGTGCCCCGGGTCCCGCGGGGATCAGTGCTTTGAATACTTTAGAACAGGTAACACTTGTTGGTCGCCTGTGATTTTAACCTCACCTCCCCCCTTTAAAAGTTTGGCACTTCCAAGGCGTCAGTAATTAGGTGGTTTCGTGCTAACTGTGCCAACTGATGCTATCTTTAAAACCCTCCGAGTTATATAGCAAATGTATGGAAAAATGCTGTGTTGCAATAGCTCCACTTACCCAATTCCTGCAGGGCCGGCTTTGCAATGGGAGCGGGATCCGCGCTACGGGAGAGCTGCGGCTGGAGGCACCGGGCACCGGCTGCGGGGTGTGTGTGGGGGGCACGGGGAGGAGGAGGCCACCGGTGCCAGCAGCCTCCGGGTTTGGGGTTGGGGAGTGGCTGGGGGGTGATGTGGGGCTCGGAGGGGTGTGTGTGGGGAGGTGTACGGGGAGTGGGGGGCTGCAGTTCCCATTGTGGCCTGTTTTGAGCTTGGGGAGGGGGTGCGTGTGCTCTACTTCAACCCCCCCATTCTCTCCAAAGGCCCCCATCAACCGCAGCCCCCCCATCCACTGCAGAGGTGCTCATCCATCGCAGGACACCGCTTTCATTAGAAGCACTCCCATTCTGTGCAGACCCCCCCATCCTGTGCACCCCCATCCTTCTCAGAGCACCCCCATCTTTCACAACCCCCCCCCTCATCTTTCTCAGAGCCCCCCACCCTTCGCATCCCCCCCTCCATCCTTTGCACCTTCATCACCCCCACCCTTTGCAGGGCACCCCCTCATTTCCCCCCTCTCTACTCGCACCCGTTGCATCCCTCCAGACGCATTTACCCCCACCTCAAACGCAGCCCACACCCCCCGCCCGCCCCGCCCGTGCCCCGGCGAGGCCCGGGGGGAGCGCAACGGCGGCGGCGGAGACCGAGGTGGGGGAAAGCGGGGCGGCGGCGGGCGGGCGGCCGAGGGGAAGCACCAAACAAGGCCTGGATCCGGTCCCGCCCCCGTTGCCTTCTTTGGCGCCCGGTTCCGGCGCCCCCGGCGCTGGGGAGGTGCGGGGCGGGCGCTCAACGGGGCGCGGAGCGGGGGGACCCGCAGCCCGTACCCCCCCCCCCCCCCCGGCAGCACCGCCCCGGCATTGGGGGGGGGGGTGTCCCCGCCGAGGCCCCCCCTTCCGCCGTCCCCCGCCGCTTTCCCCGTCAGCGCATTCCCACGGTCGCATCCGCGGTGCCGGGGAAGCTGCGGGTCCCCCGGCCCCAAACCAGCCCGAGCCACCCCGCAGGCCGCGGCCGGCACCGCCACCGGGGCTCCCCTCCGGTCCCTCCTGTCGCTATGGGGGGGGTGAGGGTTTGCTTGGCCTTGCTGGCACCCCAGCATCCCCATGCGTGCTAGCCCCCCGTCCGGCTCATTCCCAGCCCGGTGGGTACCTGCCCCCCATGCCATGGGCAGAGGGGGACCCTTACCCCATCCCCACGTGGCATCACGCCCTGCCACCTCGGGCTGCGGGTGCAGGGATAATACCCCAACCCCAACCTGGTTCAAAGATCCTTAATCATAAAGATCTGGTTTACACAAGGAGCTGGGTTAGGAGGGAGCTTAAACCCAGCCTGTGAGAACCCAATCCCGCACGGCCACCGTCTCGGTTACTAACAGTGGTGTGATGCCAATTGATGGGGAACGGCCTTAAGCCAAAATAAACTGAAGGCAGCCTTAGACTGGCATGAAAACGGCCGCGTGGGGGTTGGACTGGCTTAGTTACTGGGTTGGAGTGTTAAGAGCAGAGTAGTTTACCCAAAGGGAGCAAGAAAAAAAACCACCACCCCCAAAACATCACCTGGGATGCTCTGAATGGGTTTGAATTACAGCTCGGTGTGGATGGAGTCTGCAGCTGAGAGCTTTCACTTGTGCTGACCACGCCACAAGCTTGTCTCAAACCCCATCCTGACCGGGGTTCAGGAAGGTGAATGATCATTGCTGGCATCAGTGGTTTCACAGCCTGGAGCCTCATCCATGGAATGCCGCGGTGCCCTCCTCAAGGCAGAGCATCACAAACCCCCATTGCCCCTGCAGTGCAAAACCTCATCGTGTTAATAAGGCACAGCTGGCCCAGCCTCCAGCTCAGCCCCCGATTCAGCTGCCTCCTTCACCCCAGGGATAATGGGGGGGATAATGGGGAGCCCTCAGAGCAGCTCCAGTGCCTGAAGGGGCTGCAGGAAACCCGGAGAGGGGCTTGGGACAAGGGCCTGTAGGGACAGGCCAAGGGGAATGGCTTTAACCTGCCAGAGGGGAGATTGAGATGAGCTCTGAGGCAGAAGCTCTTCCCTGTGAGGGTGCTGAGGCGCTGGCACAGGGTGCCCAGAGAAGCTGTGGCTGCCCCATCCCTGGCAGTGCTCAAGGCCAGGTTGGACACAGGGGCTTGGAGCAAGCTGCTCCAGTGGAAGGGGTCCCTGCCATTGGAACTGGATGAGCTTTAAGCTCCCTCCAATGCAAGCCATCCCATGAATCTGTGATTCTATATTGTTTAATAGTACCCCAGCTGAAACAAGTCCCCATAATCCCCGCTGATAAAGTGCTGGCAGCATCCCCTCATCCAGGGAGCGCCCACAGCCACCCATACATCCCTGAGCACCCCCAGCTCCCACTGCCCCCGACCCCGCTCCTCCCTATGGGGCCATGCGATCCCCGTGTGCTGCGAGTCCCTCTGGGTGCTGTCAGCTGATGGGTGATGTTCCCTTGCTCCTCTCGTCTTGTGACCGGGTCCTGCTGCTCATCACTGAGTGATTCATGTGCTGTGAGCCCCGCAGGTGCACCAGGCTGTGCCGTGGCTCTCCAGGGACCAGTGGGGCTTTTAGAAGGGGAACGGGTCAGGATTTTGTACCTAATTACTGGCAGCAGAAATGCACTTATGGGGAGGAGATCATGAGCTGGGTCCTGGTGCCTTGTGCTGAGGCAAACGGGATGGCATCACCATCCTGCCATGTGATTCCATGTTTCAGGGGCTCCGGGAGGCTCTGCGCTGTGCATGGCTGTGGGTTTCAGGCATTTGGAACCCACCGTGGTGCTGCCTCTGGTCCTGGATTCCAAAGGATGCTCAGATACAAAGCTTGAGGCGCTTCTTTGCACTACCAGAACACGGAGGTGTCGTCCCGTCCCCCCCGCCCCTTTGATGTGCTTTAGATGTAGATCTGGGGCTGGGAAGGTCACAGAGCTGTAAACAGAGCGTGGCTGTGGGGACCTGAAAGGTCACCCACCTCCCACCCCAGGCATGACTGCACCCGGGCTGCGCCTGGAGGCGGCTGCTTGGATGGTCGACAACAAAACTGCTTCTAGAGCAGCCTGGGGAAGGGGAACAATAAACCCGGAGTCTTTCAGCCCCCCAGAGCACGAGGTGGGTGCCTCAGTGGTACCCGATGGAGCCACCGGCGTCCCTCAGTGTCGTGTTTGCAGGTGGTGAGGCTGCACGGGCGGGATGCAGACATTTGCGGTGGCAAACAGCAGCTGCCCTGATGTGGCCGGTGCTGCATCAGCAGCGATTCATCCGCTGAGCATCCCGTGGATGTGGGAGATGCTCAGCACCGCAGGGTTGGATTCAGGGCAATTCCTGGAGGAGGAGGAGAGACTTTCTCCACTGCTGTTGGGTGTGGGAATTCCTCATTTCAGGCCATGCTTTGGCTGGGAGAGCTCCGGCCAAGGAGAAACTGCTGGGCAGCCTTCCTGATCCCGGCCCAGCGCCCGCCCGGCTCTGCGGCCTTCCTGGTTTCCCTGTGAAAACTACCCCCTCGCTGAAACATGCATGGACAAGGAGATGGACGCATCCCTCCTCCCTCCAGTGTCGGGGGCTGAACTTGGTGGTCGCTATTGGCTTTGCTGGGTCAGTCTCAAAGGGTAGATGCCCATAAACCAAGGCCTGCGGTGGCTGGAAGGGGGGAGCTGGGCAGGGGGTGCTGCAGGAGCCATAGGTGGTTGTGGGAAGCCCTTTCCTGCCTCAGTTTCCTCTGTGGCATGAGAGAGAGATGAGCCCTGCCTCATCCTGCCTGCGAAGCACCCACAGCAGCACTGGGTGCAGAGGGTCCTGTGGGGGGGCTCTGCTGCACCCCATTCCCTGAATCACCTCCTGCTGCCATCGCCTTCCCTGCGTCACCACCCGTGATGCTGCAGGGAGGATGCACTGGCTGTGCTCAGCCATCCCAAGGAGCATCCCACGGTTTTCCAGTGCTCCGAGGCCTGGGCTCCATGGGTGACTCCAGCAAGGGGCGCGATGCTGCGTACACCGGGGAACCTCTGGGTCATCTGAGTCCGAGACAGGTCTTGGTCTGCAAACCCAAAGGTCTTTCCTGTTATTATGCAGCCTGCAGGAGGGGAACAATAGCGGTGGCGGCGGGTGCAGTGTGACCCAGAGATAAGGAGACAGTGTGATTAGCAGGA